GGAAAGACTGTTCCAACTATCATGGAATCAGTGTAATGTCATCAATATCTAGGCTTTATGGCCATATTTTGAAAGAATAGAGAGGGAAGTGAAGAATTCTAAAGTGCAAAATGAATTTAGAGCAGGGTGCTCATGTATAGATGGAATTATGAAACCTGATTGAAAAAAGAGTTCATAGAGGTTTAACCAATTCATCTAGCTTTTGTAGATTTATACCAGGTTTACGACACTTCCACAAAACAACTTGTGGACCAGTTTATATAAGAATGGAGTGTCAATGATGATGATTATTAAGGTTAAAGGGTGCTTCAACAGTGAAGGTCATTGGCGCCTGTGTAAATTATTTTAAGAGCAATATGAACTGTAGCAGTGCCTGACTAAAACATTTTTGTCATGTGCGTAAAACTGAAAATAAACATGTTCAATTATTTAAAAAGAGGGGTTGGTAGAAAAGAAACAGACAAACACTTTAAAATCCCCAATTAAAACCCAAATAATTGACATAATCCTCTTCTCTCAGATAATGCTGTAAATGTCAGTCTCTCAAAAGAAGCTAAAAAGGTTGCACAGAGAAGATTCGTCATTTCCAAGTACCTGTGCTAGAGAGCTAGCAAGGTGAAGCCTTCGGCAGCTATCTCTTACCTTAGAACAGTGCACGAGGGCATGATCCACAGTAAGATCCGACTCGCATCTATCTGAAGTAGGGGGTGGATCACCGCGGAAAAGATGTCCGTGGGAGAAATGACAGTGACCAATCCGAAGGCGAGTCAAAATTATCTCCTCGCGCCTAGACCCATGAGATGAAGAAGACCCCCTAAGGCTTTATGGAGTCATTGATTTTCGTGAGTTTAAAATCCAAGTCTGCCACTGTTTGCCATGCACTGACAATAACATGTTTGATAAACAGCTTGGTATCATTTGTTGGGGCAGTAAGGATGTCTAACTCAATTTTCTCCGTAGCGAGCATTGCTGTCTGGTCAGTAATTTCGTTCCTGATTATACTGTGACCATGGATCCAAAAAAAACACACCTAATTATAACAACGCACCAATAAATTATGGATTTGGTGTTGGAAGATCACAGTCAGAGGATCACAAGAAGAGAAGCAGGAGAGGAGTTTCAAGCGAGCTTTTTGAATCACTGTTTCATTTAACATCATCGATTCAGCAAACTTAAGTGCCTCCAAGAGCGCATATTTTTCAGCCGTATACGTGCTGCACGAAGAGTCTATTCGAAGACTTCGCATGGCACTGTGGCAGTAGAAGGCACACACTACATTACCATTCTGGGAGGAAACATCAGTGTATACGAAATTATAGCCGGGATACATGAATTTCGTCTCCTGGAATTCCACCAGAAATGTACTGGGGCGAATTGAGGATTTGGGGAAGTGTGATAATCTCAGGCCTGTTTTAGGCCGGAGAAGCTCCCAAGGGGTAACAAGACTTCGCGAAGGGTGGGCGGGGTCAGAGGGACGGGGTGTTTTATATTGAGTTTCTGCAAAAGCGTGTGGAGACGGATACTTGGAGGATGGGGTAAAGATAGTCTGAGTGCATACGATGTCCTGTGACTTGGATGATCTACCAGTAAGGGTGCGCCCCATGATCTACCAGTAAGGGTGTGTAGGAGGTCCAATGGTGATACATATCGGCTCTTCAAGTTTTGAATATGCTTTCGCCACATTAAACACTTTTCGAATGTCAGGCCAAGGACAGTGGCTGATTCGACGAAGGGAAGTTGATGACCCCCCAAAAAAGATCAGGATGATTATGCAGGTGATGAATTCTACAGAAGTGCATGTAACTGGATTTTAAGGTGGAGACTTTAATCCCATTTTATCGCTCCATTCTTGCAGTTTGTTAAGGACAATCTGTAACTGCCTCTCAAAAACTCGCATGCTCTTCGAGGAGCAGAATATAACAAAGTCATCAACGAAGAACAATGCTTTCACAGGCTCTCAAATTACTAATACGATACTATTGATAGTAATGGTAAGTAGAACACTCAGAATTGATCCCTGGGGAACATTGTTTTCTAACTGGTGACTTGAGGAAAACGTGACACCAAAGTGGACGCGGACAGATATTGACGAAAGAAAATCTACTATAAACGTAGGGAGCCGTCCCCTCAGGCCCCAAAAATGCAAGGTGCGAAGAATACCGTACCTCCAGGTGGTCATACACTTCCGCTATGACTTAAAAAATTGCTACCAGGTGTTATAGCACGAACGAAATGGAGATCTGAGTGGATAGGGAGACTTAGTGGTCGATGGTTGACCTGTGCTTCCTGAAACCACACTGAAAAGGTGTAAATCCCAAAATTGAAATGTTTTTTATCTATCACAGTTCACCATCACATGCTGTTATTTCACAACAGTAGAGTAGCTGGGATATTAACTGTTGTTATGGAGAGCAATCTTATGTTATGAGGAGGGGAGTGGCTTCATGCACTTTTTTTATTCATTTATTTCATTCAGTAATCCCAGCAGATATCAAGTGTCACTTGTTAAGGTTTCTCTATTAAATCCTCTTTGAATCTCTCCCTCTGCTCTTCACTGAAGTCTTCCATGTGTTGTTGTAAGTAATTCAGATAGGAATGTTCGAAACAGACTTTCAAGCTCATTTTACAACTTTGAGCTTTGAATGCTGTGTCTTTCATGATGCTTTTCCAGTTGGGATCTTTATTATTACTTAAGACTCTTTTAATAACCTGTTAGATGATTCCAAAACTTCTTTTTCTGCTTCTCAGTAGAGTGAAAACTTTATCTGTCTGAAGTTTATGAATATCCGGTCCCACAAAAATTCCATCTTTCAATTTGTTTTCAGAAAGTTTTGGGCACTTTGAGTACATATCTGAAACATTCTCTATTTTTTGAGAAGGAGGTCATGAATTGGTTCATCAGCTACAGTTAACATAAAGATTAAATAAGAGAATATTGTCAGGGGGTACAAAGTTTATTATTACATTTCATTCACCTGGTCTGCGAGTATCTCAAAGAGGTCTGTTTTCTCTTTACTAGTGAATAACTCTTGCACAACTGTCCCACACACAAAGTAAGAAGGGATGTTTTCTGATCTCCGGTTGTTGGCCAAAAATTATATTTATTATTTGTATTAATCTTTGTAGTCTATTTCAAATTTCAAGAGATCGCAAAAATCATTGCAGTAAATAAGAGGGTCTTCTTTGGAGAAATGTGGAATGAATATTTTCTCACGATATCTATACTAATGGAATGATGTATCTATGACTTGTTTTTCTTTTAGCTTAGATATCAATCGTATTGCATCTTTTGAAACTTGGCTTGAGGAAACCTCTTTTATCTTAAAAAATAATCAGACTCTTCAGCAAATTTGTAAATAAACCCTCTATATCTAATAACTATGTAAAGTAGACAGTTTTGAAACTAGAATGTCACTGCTGAGCGTAATATGCCAAAGCTTACTCGAGGTCAGGATAAGCAATTTCTCTTGTTTTGTTATTTCTACATACCAATTAAACAAAAATAGCAGTCAGCCCTGTGATTTCATGTGCACAGTTTTTGACGAGTCTCATTTTTATCTTCATCATCCAATTTTAGTCCACAGTGAAATAAATACCCTTACTTTGGACTAAAACTCACTTGTATTTCTTAGTTGCTTATTTTGAACCTTATTCACCACAAATTATGTATAAATCTTTCAGTGAATTAACACAATCCCTAGTAGTAATTTTTCAATGCAAAGGTACTATATGCACTATGAAGGCAACTGAAATAATTATTGAGCTAATATAGATGTTGAAACTACTACAGAAAGATTAAATCTGACATATCATTGCTGTCAATTTTTTGGTTTTCTGTCAATTTGCTGGTTTACTGGTAAACTATGATAAATTGATATGCAAAAACCTATATATGATGCTGAAAACCAAAGCCATTTCCTAATTCAGTACACAAAGAGTGATCACAATTAGTCACTTAATCCAATTCAGTTTTTTGGTTGGAAAACTATCATTGTTTGAAATTTGATAACTATGGATTCTGATCATGTGAGAGAGGTGTATTGTTTTGTTTGATACACAGGAGCATGAGAAAATTACCACATTTATATAAATAATTTTCAATGTGCCCAGAAATTAAAGGAAAGTATGCACCCTTCAGCCATGTGAGAGGTGTATCTAGTTCAGTCAGATTGTGAGGATCTTGGGGAAAAACACAAAACAATTATTCAGTGTTGATTTTGACTGAAATACACAAATATTTGATTTTGTTATTCAGCCTATATTCATCCTGCATGTTGCAACCAAATTATCATGCATCACTGCTTTCAATGCAACTTGAGTCATAAGATAGAAAGGCATTAAGTTAATATTTACAAAACACACGTTGTGTTATAGGACAGCAAATTTGGTATTTAAAGAACTGATGTGCTGTACTTATAATTTTGTACTTTTGTAATTTTGACTGTTTTATTGCAATGTTATGCAATACTATTTTATTTGTTATTCTTCAGCAATGGGTGTGATACTTTTTGGAAAACCATTTTGGGTGGTTTTGTTGAACAGCATTTTGGCTGATGTAGGCCACTAGTGCTTATTGCTATTATGTACTTAGTATGATTACTAACAACATGTTTTAAATCATTGTCACGGTTTATAATGCCTATGAAAAATCAAGCCAAAAGCAAAGGTATTTTAATACAAAACATCCTTCTTTACGGGCAAAACAAATCCAGAAGAGTGATCTGTCCCTATTTAATCTCAATGACCAAAAAATGTAAAAAAATCTGCAGTAAATAAAATTAATAAAATAATTTGTTGAAAGTGTGTGATCTAAGAGATGTTTACAATGTCAAAAATTTGTATCATCTATCACTTCATATTCTGAGTCTCATCAGATGATAACATTATTAAATATGTACTACAGATATCAAACACACAAGATTAGAGTCTACAATTACAAACCATAAAATATAAGCACACTTTCAAACAGAAACAAACATGAAAAAATATATAGCACTCACCTTCAGTAATGCTAGATTCCTGAAACATATTTTCCAAGGCATGATGTATTTCCTGAAAACTAGGTCTTTCTCCAGGGCTCCATTGCCAGCATTGTCGCATTAGATCATAAATTTTAGGAGGACAACCAGGTGGGCATTCCATCCTACAAAGAAATTCAACATCAAACACCACAAAACTAAAAGGAATCCCCATAAAACCTACTAAAGTGAAAGTTTGTGAAAATTTCATGCACTTTAGTCAAGAGTTTTGTAATTCATCTGTTGCATTACTCTACAATACTTCTGAAGGCAGGTGTGTCTACCATAAATCATAAAATATTTCATCTAATGTCATTGGGTTGACCCCTTGATTACGTAACACAAAATCAAGTAAAATGTAACCTTCCACAACTTGTAAAGTAGCCCCAATACCTTGGTAAATTTCATAATGCTGATCAGTTTCCATTAATTGAAGGAGTAAGGCCAGAATGGTGGTAACCATCTTCTCATAAACTTTAAATGAAGATATTAAAATGTTGTTTTGGTATTGTGGTGAGTTTTTGTTCATATTTACAATGATATCATTGTAATAAACAATATTGTTGGTAATGACAACTCATAATTCCATTTATTAAAAAGTTTACATTAAACAAACATGGTAATGAAAATACAGTATGAAACTGTACAAAGAATTACAGCAGCTGTGAGCAAAGCAACAAGAAACTAACATAGAAACTAAGACAATTTGGATTTAAAAATATTAGTTTTACCTCAGGTTGAACAAAATTTCAAAAATGCAGATTAGCACAATGTTGCCCTGACCCCATTAATTTACATATGAAATGACAAAACATGCAGGTTAGCAAATTTATAAAGACTAGAAATGTATATATATACTTAAAAAAAGAAGCTTTTTATGTAATATGAATGTTGTATAATGTTTTATTCATTATAAAATACAATATAAATAAACTTTTTATCATACTTTGTACAAGCTATTAATAACTACAATATTTAAATTTACTTAAATATATGGGATGAACACTACAAAAAAAATGCATAATGACAAAAGAGTATCGGTACAAAAATTACGATAACTAAAAATAAAATCTTATAACAATAAAGACATGAGATATCAACCAATTGTCGAAGCACTTTTGCCACTTTGATTGAGGTATCTCCCAAACATGCATTCTGAATGCAGCAACGGCTTCTTCTGGTGTCGAAAAACGTTGACCTCTCAGTTTGTTTTTTACGTACGGGAATAAAAATAAGTAATTCGGTGCCAAGTCAGGACTATAAGGCCGATTACTCATCAAATCGATGTTTTGGGTGCTGGAAAATGCAGTAGTTTGAGCCGATGTGTGAGAGCTCGCATTGTCGCGGAGAAGTGTATCCGTCTTCGGCGGTTGGTTTTCCTGATTTCTTGGAAGACAGCTGGCAAACAAATCGTTGGGTACCACTCAGAATTGACTGTTCTGCGTTCTAGTGCTACGGTTGCGACATCTCCAGTTTTTCAGAAAAAAACAGGTTACCATCTGTTTGGAAGTGCTACGTGCGCGAACAACTTTTGTTGGATTTTGCTCATCGTGAAACACCCAAACACCCATACCCATACGACTGCTGCTTACTTTCGGGCTCACACGCGTAAATCCAGGATTCATCACCTGTCTCGATGTCATAGATGTGTTTCGAAGCACCACGATCGTATTTATGGGAATTTCTTTCGACCAATCGACACGAGCCTTTTTTGACGGATTGACAATTGTGTGGGATTCAACGCGAACAAATTTTTTTGACAGTCAAATGTTCATGCAATATTGAATGTATGGTGGTCCCACTAATGCCTAAGGTTGTCTCAATCTCACGATATGTCACATGATCTTGCAGTATCAGTTCACGCACACCATCAATGGTTTTCGCAACAACAACAGATGTTGGACGACCTTTGCGAAATTCGTCTCGGAGTGAACTACGACTACGATTGAATTCACCATACCATCGATACACACAGGTCCTTGATGGAGCTTCATCGCCAAAAATTAATTTCATCCATGCACTGTTGCTGAGTTAATCCACGTCGAAAGTTGTAAAAAATAATCGCACGTAAATGTTCACGATTTAATTCCATTTTTGGGCCAAGATTAATCTTTTAAGTTACTGTAAACAACACAAATAGCGCTTGTATGTCAAAACGTTCTGAGTACGTATAACCTCCAAACATCCAACTTTACGATAGAGCTGTCAGTTGCCAGATAGCAATACCATGGTTGCCAAATCCATGCCAGGCAACCTTCGTATTTTATATTTCTTTCTGAGTCTCTTACATTGGACCTTTCGTTATACGTCTACAAATTAATATTTTAGAAGTAATTAAAACCTATATTTTAAATAAAACTAAAAACCTATATGAAATGAAGATTGCTAGCCTTCAGTCGCCCGCTCCCAATTTACGCAGTTGAATACTGCGCAAGTAAAAGTTTGTATATTATTTCATATTTCTTTTTATGATTATTTATTATATATTTATGTTATTACATCCCCCGTTAGGGACCACAGGACCTTGCCGAAGACCTTGTGTCGGGTACGGGGGCTGAGTTGAAAGAATAGGTGGAGCAGTATGATTGGGAGTATGACTGGCATCTCTATAAACGAGCTCTGCTTAAGAATGGGGCATCACTATAGACGAGCTCTTCGTATGAAAGAGGCGCGAATGGGCAACACCGACCTCTCGATACGACCAACAAGCGGTCCACGGGTGACTGTGGCGCGAGCAGTCGCACCTGGTAGCCCACATGGTCTCGTTCTGGGACGAGCACTTGCGCCCTAATCCAAGGTGTGAGATGCTGTGCCGAGGGATGCGTGGTACGGAAGGAGCCGTGCCGCTAACGGTTCCTTTGTAATACCTGGCGACCTTACAAAGTATATAGCCTTACCTGGCACACGGGGCTCTGCACAGGCTGACCTTTTTCCCCCTAGCTACTTGTGGGACCAAAACTGGATGAACTGACAACAAAACCAACAAAAAAGACACGGAAACGGCTGTGTGTGGGACGAGCTCGAATCTCGTACCGGGCCTCACCAGGGCTTAAGGGTCGATCGCATTGACCGAACCAATGACCGGTGGGGTCAGTGGGTCGGGTGCAAAGTTAGTACCAGGACAGCTCACTGAAACGACAAAAACAAAAGAAACGGACAATGCGGTCACGGACTCCACGGAGACAAACTAAAATCGAAATCTAAACGTATGGGGCAGGCACAGAGACGTGCTTTAGCCAAGGCTAGGAGTACTGGGTCGGACCCCGCGAAGGGGCCCGAACCAGTCACTTCTGGTCAGTCAACCCTGAAAGGACAACGGCAACTAAACTCGAGCGAGACTTCGCCGACAGACTCCAGACCTCAAAAGAGACACAAGGAGGTTGAGGACGGACTGACGGCTGCTCAGAGAACAAACCCTCTATCATTGTGGCTAGCGAAGAGTACCCGCAAGTGGGACTCACGTGGGAAGGGGTGGAAGGGAGGACTCTGGTATTGGGGATACCAGAGTCTCACCTGTCGTCTCTCAGGGCTAACAAGCCCTACCTCGACATGGCAGGGTCACCGTGCGAGTGAATGCGTCAACCCCCCACGGACATACGGCACAGGATCATTATCCTGATGCGACGGAGGAAAGCTAATGTGCCGCCATTATGACGAACATCATGATTCCAATATCACAGATTACTTGCACCGTAGCAAAGACGCGGCAGCCGTTCTGCCAAGCGTTATGGCTAGGGGCACACATGGATCTCCTTGATCACAAGAACCTTGGACTGTGCGTGGTCTGTAAATGGGTCGGACAGGCTGTTGTATGATTGCGGATGCTTCTGGGGAGAGACCGAGAGCGTGCATAGCCTGAAAGCGTCAGTGGGTACCCTCTTACAGTTCGATACAGGAATCTGGCAGCTGTATCCTGCAAGGTAAACTCGGACCAAGGAGAGATCACTATCGTCTTTGCGTCGACCTACTTTCCAAACGAAGACTCGGAGGTTCCACCAGTAGGAGTTCAACGTCCAGTTGAACACTGAAAACTAGGACTACCCCTCATCATAGGCTGTGACGCGAATGCTGACAACGCTGTGTGGGGTAGCACGGACACCAATGTCCGAGGCGAGAACTTGATTATATATCTGGCGGGCTCTGACATGGACGTGGCAAACGTGGACAGTGAACCCACATTCAGAAATATATGTAGAGGCGAAGTGCTGGACCTACCTCTGGTCAGTCTCAACATACATTAATGATACATGGATGGAATGTCTCAGACGAGCCTTCCCTTTCCGATCATGCCACCATTGTGTTTTGCTACGCTGTTCTTAAGGAAAATGGGTTGCGGGACATCCACATTCGCGGAGCACTGACTCGGTTGGATATCTGCAGGAGCTGGAACGTTGATCTGAGGTTTCTCCCAAGAGAATCGGAACGGTTTCGCGGTTAGACACGCCACGGTGCTCCTGTCGGGGATTGTCACTGCGCCTATCTGTGAGGAACAGCAAAGCAAGAATGGTAGATCGAAAGTCGAAGTTCCATGGTGGAACGGAAGGCTCGAAACAATGAAGCACAAGGGTGAGATTAGCCTACCAAAAGCAAGATCCGCCGAGGTGAACGAAAAGAGGAACTCTTCTCCAAGTGGGGAAGGAAAGGTATGACTATAGAATGGAAGTCCGCTCTGCCAAAAAGGCACGTTGGAAGAACTATTGTGAAAAAATCGAAACGGGAAGAGAACGGCTAAACTGGCAAGGTATTAGCCTCTAACCCAAGTGCGTGGATTGGAGCTATAAAACTACCTGATGGCACATATACAACAAACTATGAAAGACACATTGACTCATCTTATTAAGGCCAACTTCCGGACGGAGAAGTGCTAATGAGGAGCCCCAACTGAGGAGAAGGGGAAGGCGAAGGCGAAAAAATCCTTCGTACGCCTTCCTTCGGAGGGGAAGTAAAGCCGGCTGTCCCATGTTCGTAGATTTACTTGCATGTAAAAGATCCTCAAGCCTAAATGACGCCTCTGAGCTAAATTCAAAATCGCCTGTTTCTCGCCAAGAAATATCTTCCCTTTTTCCCTTTTCTTTCCCTAGTTGGAAAGGAGCGTAGCGAAATTGCGTGGTCAGACGGAAGAGCGGGCCTGATGGCCCGAGTCTATAATAACGAAAAATAAGGCAAATTCAATTCAATCATTGGAGAGTTATTTGACGGAATGGTTGCAAATTATCGAAGACATTTCATCGCATGCGAGTACCTTACTGTGGACGAACAGCTAGTGGCTTTCCGGTGAAACTGTTCTTTCCGTCAATACATACCTAGCAAACTAGTCAAATACGTCATCAAGGTATTTGCTTTAGTTGATGTAAAGACTGCTTATACTTACAACCTCGAGGTAAGAGTTGGAAAAGAACCGAGCGGGCCAGTAGTTGTGTCAGTAATTCGCCAGAAGCTGTAGTGTTGCGGCTGGTGAGGCCGGTAGAAGGAACCAACACCACAAGTGCCAACAAATACCACAGCTCTCGTTTGTTGGCACGTTGGGCAAAAACAAAAGAGAAATCTCACCGGAGTTTTTGCCACCGGGCATTTTGGGTTTCAAAAGGACTGTACATTATTTTCGAACTGTCCTAGAGAGAATAAGTCAGTAATTCTTATTTCTACTATGCACCATGATGATGCAATAGATGTCGACTACAGAGAAAATAAGCCAGAAATTGTAACATTTTTCAATAGAACCAAGATTGGTGTGAATTTGGTTCATCAGCTTATTCAAAAGTACAATGTAGCAAAAAATACAAGACGCTGACCTATGGTACTGTTGTATAATTTTATAAACATATCGGCAATAAACGCCTTTGTTGTATACAAAAGTAACTGGCCGACCAACACCACTAAACTTGATTTCATTGAAGAAATTTCTTTGGGATTAATCAGAGTACAAATTGTTAGAAGGAATAATATACCTAATGTACCAAAAGACATAAGACGTAGAGCAAAACTGTTGAGGAAGAAATGAAGACCAGTGTGACGAAGTGAGAAAGCTGTCAAGCGACCATTGCTGCGGTGATGACTGTGACAGAAGTCGCAATAAATCTACACGTAGATGCCGTGAAAAATGCAAGAAATGGATAAGCAAAGACCATTTGTTATTCGAGTTATGAAACTATCAATATTTGATCCAATTGTAAAAATTCCAAAGTGATGTAACATTTTTCCTGAATTCTTCAAAATTATTTTTTTTAAACAAAATTGTCTCGTTCATGTAAGTTTATTAGAATTAGAATGAAGAAAATAATAGTAAAATGTTATAGAAATAATTTAAATGACAATTCTGTTGTCAACAAAACAGCTCCATATACCGGAGTACGAGTGTACGCTACGCGCAAAGAGGTGGAACAATGGCGCCACACAGATAACGCGATAGAAGACGACTGCTTTTAGTTCGCGAAAATAAAAACGAATACTTTAATGTATTTGTAGAATATTCACATTCCATTGTGTTTAATAATTACTATTATATTTTTTCGACGTATTTTTTTCCAACGATATCAGATTTGAATTATTTAACTTTTAAATATTTTACTATCTAACATTTCGAGTTTTTTCGCACCAAATGTTCTACGGTATCAAATGAGATTTACAAAACCATTACTAATGGCTAATGAGAAAGTACGTCATTTAGCACCAGTTGTTTTGCTAATGGTTTCTTATATTTTAATTATATATTATTACTTTACTTACGTTATATATTATCACTTTTCCTTACGAAATCAGTCCATATTGACCTTTCCGGCCAAATTTTTTGTTTTCCAGATTTTTGCATGTTTTCGCATATCTGAAGGTTACTACATATTTCTGCGCTCTCAGTGTATTTTTTTAAACAAGAGAAGCATGGTAATTTATTTAAATATTAGTGAACTACCTTTTTTAGTAAACAAGTCTTACATCAAGCTCCTTGAGACTGATGAATTATAGTTACCAAGTTTCATAAAACACCTCATTATCTTTATTAAACACATGGTTTGAATCATAAGGAACTTTACTAATATTCACAGATTCAGTTAGTCGTTCCTCAATCTTCAGCAGAGTCAGGCGAACCTTCGCAGGAAACGGCGTACAAGGCAATGTGCTCCGCGGAGTCACCACTTGTAGAAACTGAGACGTCACCCTGCGCTCTAACTTGCGCTGGTCCGATAAGCATGGTGGATCGCAGAATCTCATTCTGAGTCACCTTGTGTCACGTTACTGACCTGTCTCTCATTTTGCGACTAGCATAAGGTCCCGCATAAGATTTCGAAATCGAATACCTGGAGGCTGAGGTTCGAAGAATATGACGTCTCATATTCAAGGTAGATAATTATTCGGCGACAAGGATGGTTACATAGTCCACATTCTTTAGCACCATAAGACGCTAATAGAACATCTAATATTTTTAATGGATAATGGTCGCTCCCATGCAGGCCGTCTAGAACGTTTCATTGCAGAACGATTACAATTGGCGGGCTACCGAGTGAGATCGATAAACAAGCTCGAGTTTGTGCCGATAGAGAACTGTTTTGGTTCACCTGAATTCAAGATTGCCAAGTTCGAGTTGACTAATAATGATTCCAACACGTCCAACACGATTCCTCTAGGACAGGTGCCAGACGACCCCCAAAAGGGCTGTGGGCATTTACATCCTCGACTGCCAAGAACTGTGCAGGCAGTTGGTTTATCTAGTCCAACAGGGATGTAGATGTTACAGGAGAGAGAGGGATGCGAGGCACACCTACACACACACACACACAGGTTGTAGCACAGTCTGAACTGGAACGTATGTAGATAGCACCATATCAGGGATAAAAGTAGTAACTCCGTGGGCGCGGAGGCAGTCAACATCAACCCTATATTGAGTAAAACCGTGCAAGGATAGGAGGGGGGGGGCGATGTGGAACTGGATGTGTCCTCTGTAAGCGGAATAACGAAGGCATACAACGGGATAATAGAAGTATGAGTTCGTTCCGTCGGGGGCGAACCCACTTAAGTTCCAAGAAATGAGAGCCATGATGTATCTTTAGGAAGTATTTTTCTTTTACTTTTCGATCCGCCCGAAGGGGGAAGTGTCCACCCCGGTTGAAGTTTCCTCCGAGGCCGTCCTCCTGAGCACTGCGCGACAAACTGAATGATCGCTAAGATCGAGTCACAGGGATCGGAGGTTAGAACAGCTGCGAGTCCGGGATGGACTGGCGACAGACATCTTCATGCGAGATTGAGTAAAGCTGAATTGATGGCTAAACGTAGCTAATTGAGTGTATTTCTTGGTCTATTTCTTGTATGAGGTGAGTATAACTGTTTTACCACATTGCAGAGGCGATATCTCCTCAGGAAAGTCCACAGGACACACCTGGCAAGAGAAATGTGCTACTGTGGTAGCAGCAGATAACATTTGACATTACATCCTTTTTATATACTATGTATATTAACTCTGCATATACATACGTATACGAGAAAGTAAAATCGAGTAATGGCAAAACGTCTGTCCGTCCGTGAACGAACTAAATTTGCTCAGCCAGCGGCTAAACCGTTCAGCCGATTTTTTTTTCTTTCAAAATTGGTATTCCCTTATCGATTTGGCTGATGTTGAGGTTTCTTGAATTTGAAACCGATATTTTAATTTTTTTGGGGGGGAGGTACTTTATAAGGAGATCTTGGAACATTTTTCAAATGTCCAAAAAAGAAATAAATCTATGTTTTTTTAATTAAATTTTGTAGTTGAATTGTGTAAACGAGGTTTAAGAGAATTGTACGGGTCTTATATTCGGCAAAACCCCTAATTTTTCGAAAATTGCAAAGTTCAAATTTTTTCGAAACAACTAAAATATTAGAGATTTTGTTCTTAATAAAATCTGCATGTTAAAGGCAGAACAAGGTCGTGCATAATTTTTCGAAAATTTGAGTAAATTTTCGCGTAATTTGCATGAAAACACGGGGAAGAAAGTACGTGCTGTTTTAGCACTTGTTACTTCATTTGTAATTGATAAACTCTTTTCGTTAGTAATATTTTTGTAATTGTGTTTTCTTTTCCAGCAAGCATTTTTCTTTCACAAAACGAAGAAAAATATAAAAAAATACTTACTGGCAAATTTTATTCGAGTCTGGCAATTGGAGAAACTTTCTGAGCAGGCAAAATAACTTTTTGCGCATAACTGAATATCTTATATTTATTATAAAAATAAAATCTTGTTTATTATAAAAATAGAATTTTATTTTCATCACCGTTATAAAAAATGCCGTCCTTGTAAATTCGATTTCTTGCCAAAATCCAATTCTCCCCCTACTGGGACAATAGAATAACCGGCTGAAAGGTGCCTACCTGGCGAATTTATAGTAACCCTAGTCCGAGTCTAACCCGCTATCCGTCTAATGCAGAGCGAGGGCGCGATGTGCAACGACACGCATTCGTCGTCTCTACGCCTTGTCAAAGCAGCAGTTCTCGGACACCCACCCCGTCGGGCAGATCCAGCCTATTATTTTTGAGGGGGTCATCATAGATTTTTGTTAAATAAACATTTGTTATATTGTATATTTTTGTGGAGAATATCTTTTATTATACAATATTGTTTAAATAATTACATAAATTCCATTCCAGGTTCCATAAAAAAATATATATTACGTCAAATAAAGGTAACAAATGAAAACTCTAGGCCTTTTGGGGGGCATGCTTACGCATGAACTATGCATATGCACTCACTGCATCTACTGCGCGGTGCTTTGCAAATTGCGCCCACCAAATTCGTTCTTTTATCACGCCAAGACGAAAGACGAACGTCAGCTGCATCGCCTGCTTTGACAAGGCGTTGGTGGCCAATTTCACAAGCTGGCGTCGGTAACCGAATAGTTTAATTGCACCGATAAGGGGGAGGGTAACCCACTCGAGACATCTCAGGTTCCTGGATGGGTGACCTGCTGAGAACTCCTGGGATCCAACTGCGCCGAGCCCCTAGTTGAAGACCATGACTGACAACCACTAACAATCACCCACTAACTTATTGGAGAATTACTCCACGTAAATGCTTAAAAGAACGATCTTACGAAAAAACGTTTTTAGTTCACATCTGTACTCACTTATGACTGGCTACTGTGCTACTACGTACGTGCACGTACACTACGTGCTTTACGTGTACTTCAAATCTCCACACAGTGTTCTACAAGTTAAAAAATAAGTTGGACTCTGACCAACCAAAGTTAAACGGTTAAACGGCTTTATTGTGAAACGGGCAGAGAGACGGACGTTTTGCTGTCAATAGCGTTTTGATATCATGGACTCACAAAACTACGCAACCTGTTAAGAATTTATTATAAACAGGAACAAGATTTATCCACTTTTCCGTTACTAGGGCCCAGTAATAAGAGATATTTTACGAAAATTAGCCGATTTTCGACTATTTTCCAATCCATGGGGAGGGGAAACATACAATTTCGAAATGTTGAGGATTAAAACATTAAAATATCCGCCTCAAATTCACATTGCCTGAGGTGAGCTTGAGGAAGACCCATATTGGAAAAAACTTGTGAACGGTACAGGGGAAGACTCATAGTGGAGAAAACTTGTGAACGGCATTAGTGTTGACCGTAGATGGTCGGACAGTCGTTTTGCAGAAAACTTTTCCTATACAACGCACCCACAAAACTTTGATTCCGTGTACACATTTTCGAAAAACCAATTTATAACGTACCGGACCAAAAAAAATCTTTTTCGGAATCAAGGACTCCGAGAACAATTTTTTGTCGAAAAATCCTATAGCATGTTTCTCAATTTACGTAGTAGTAAACAAAGTAGCCTACATAGTAGTACCACTTATATAATATCGATTCAGTTTATACACTGAAGAGCCAAAAAACTGGTACTGTCATACGTATTGAAAATTCTTTTTAACATTATCTTGAGAACAAATTATTATATTTTTATACATCAGTTCCAGAGCCCAGAAGTTTAGTTTATTTTACCTAAAATAGGCAGACAAAAAAAAAGTTATTTATTCTGGATAAAATAGAAGGTAAAACTACAGGAAACATTCAAAAATGGCCATTTAAACGTAATTATCATAAAGAAATTAATTATTAAAATGATTCATGAATGAATTTATGCAAACTCTACAATTTACATTAGCACTCGCGTAGAAGGAAACAACTTATCTTTGTAACATTGATTGCATGTGACCATCAAGTATGACAACTAAGAATTTTTTTTTACTTGCAACACTGTCTACAAAACACAATTGTGGAGTCGTTTTTAAATCTTGAAAAGATTTCAGTGAATACACAATTATATATTTCATTCTATGCACTTGTATAATCACTAAAGGGAAGAGAGAACAAGAAAGAATTGAGAAGGGTATATCGTGAACAGACAGCTCTGTCCTCAAAAGGAATCAGAGGCCATACACAAACATAGGATGAGATTTTTGTGTGAGAACAAGTCTGTCAGCATCAACGAAAAATATCAAATCTTCACTGGTATCATTTTTCTTTCCCATTCTCATTTTTATCACAACTTGACATTGGAGCCTCCTTGTCCACAGAAACAACATACATGACTGTACCTTCACGTTGACCAGGCTCACAGGTATGTTTCCAGCGTGAAAGACATTGGTGCCAGGAGGAGGAAAAGGGAAAATAATGATGAAAAAGACAGGAAAGGCACAAATAAGGCACAAGTAAGGCAAAATGCAAAAATAGACATCAGAAGCTAAAACTAAAGAAAATGAAAGTCTGCTAAAACAACTCCAAAAGTACAATTAGTGATTCTTATTGTTAAAAATAAAATCGTAACAATAATAATAAAAAGGCATTTTGCCAAATTTCTGGGCACTAATCATCACTATCTTTTGACTTGCTGGCCCAGTTGGGAACAAAAAACCAACACAATTTGAGTGAATTAAAACACTTCTGTTCTAAAGGATTAGGTCATCCAAAATTTGTACACCTGTGCAGAATGTCATAGGAACTAAAAACAATTCAGAAGTTCTTGTAAATTTAAGTCCACCATGATGATAAGGGCTGGTAAGAAGAAACAGGACCAGTTTTAATTAATGACAAATGTTTGATTTTTATACTATGTTGCATAGCAATTATAACATATTATATAAATAGTGGAAAAGGGTCTCATAATCTGTGCAAGTTACAATCATTCCTTATACCAAGTAACCATGATCAATCACTCAAATTCCAACATGCTATGGTGGAAACTAAGACTTTTTCTGCCGATGATTTTGTTACCACCAAATACACACTACATTTTCAGTGCAATAACATTAAAATAAATCACATAATATGTCATTAAAGCCAAGCTATGACTCAGCAAAATTAAAGTGGAGATATTATAATAGTGCTGAAAAACCCACTAACCTGTAGCCTTTCTCCAACATGTGATACACATCAGTCAAATCAACCCCTGGATAAGGGGACATGCCATATGTAGCTATTTCCCATAGCAAAATACCAAACGCCCACACATCCGACTGGAAAGAAATAAACAAAGCATTTCTACTAGTAGCACCAGGAATGGAGTGCAAACCAATATTTTATACAGAGATCCATGGTTTACAGTAATACAGACGTGCAGAAGATACACAATTATTCACAATGTTAAATCACAACTCATAGGTTGTTTTCAGCTATATTTTAATAAAAAATGGATAAATGGAGAATAAACTTGGAATTGTTTGGATAGAGCAAAGACAAAATAATAATAATAAATAAATAAAAGAGAAGAGAGAAGAAAAGGAAGAGAGAGAGAGAGAAGAGAAAAGGGAGCGAGAGAAGAGAGAGAAGAAAAAGGAGAGAGAGAGAGAGAGAGAAGAAAAGGAGAAGAAGAGAGGAGAGAGAAGAAAAAGGGAGAGGAGAGAGAGAAGAGAAAGAGCAAAAGTGAAGAGAGTAGAGAGGAGAGAGAAAGAAAAAGGAGAGAGAGAGAGAGAGAGAGAAGAAAAGGAGGACGAGAGAGAGAGAGAGAAAAAGGAGAGAGAAGAGAGAGAGAGAAAGAAAAGGAGGAAAGAGAGAGAGAGAGAGAGAGAAGAAAAGGAGAGAGAGAGAGAGAGAGAGAGAAGAAAAGGAGAGAGAGAGAGAAGAGAGAGAGAAGAAAAGGAGAGAGAGAGAGAGAGAGAGAGGAAGGAAAGAGAGAGAGAGAGAGAGAGAGAAGAAAACAAGAGAGAGAGAGAGAGAAGAGAGAGAGAAGAGAAGAGAGAAGAAGAGAGAGAGAGAGAGAGAAAAAAGGAGAGAGAGAGAGAGAGAGAGAGAAGAAAGAGAGAGAGAGAGAGAAGAGAGAGAGAGAAGAGAGAGAGGAGAGAGAGAGAGAGAGAAAAGAGAGGAGAGAAGAGAGAGAAGAAAAAAGGAGAGAGAGAGAAGAAGAAGAAAGAGGAAGAGAGAGAGAGAGAAGAAAAGGAGAGAGAGAGAGAGAGAAAGAAAAAAGGAGAGAGAGAGAGAAGAAAAGGAGAGAGAAAGAAAAAGGAGAGAGAGAGAGAGAGGAGAAGAAAGGAGAGAGAAGGAGAAGAAAAGAGAGAGAGAGAGAAGAAAAGGAGAGAGAGAAGAGAAAAGAGAGAGAGAGAGAGAAAAGAGAGAGAAAGAAGAAGAAAAAGAGAAAAGAAAGAAAAGGAGAGAGAAGAGAAGAAAAGGAGAGAGAGAGAAGAAAAAGAGGAAGAGAGAGGAAGAAAAGGAGAGAGAGCAGAAGAAAAGGGAGAGAGAGAAAGAAAAGGAAGAGAGAGAAGAAAAGACAAGAAGAAGAACAGAGAGAGAAGAAAAAAGGAGAGGAGAAAGAAAAAGGAGAGAGAGAGAAGAAAGATGAGAGAGAGAAGAAAAGGAAGAAAAGAAGGAAATAAGGAGAGAGAGAAGAAAAGGAGAGAGAGAGAGCATATAAATACTGTAAAACTTCACTGATACATTTTTCAGAGGACTGAAGGGGAATAATGTGTGAGAAAAACACATGAGTGAAATTGAATATTATGAGCTAAATACTCTTCTTTTTTGGGGACTTGGTCACTCCACTATTACACCTTGCAGGAACTCCTACTAACGCTACTTTTGATTGGTTTGATTAGATCTTTTTAGTTGAAGTACATTAAAACTGTATGTGATGTATGGGGAGAAGTACCATCAGCGCACATTTTCATGAGCTCCAGAATTTCTTTCCATCATTTTAACTATAAATAGTTGAATGGAAAAGAAAAGCTTCCAAAAAAGCAGTTAGCAACTATTGAAAATTAGACATTACTACTCCCAAGTTATAGAAAACTTGGGATCATTAAACAAACTGCAGTTGTTTTTTTGTTCTTGTCATTGTTTGTATTTCTGTATTACTAACAAAATAATAACTCACCCCTGGCGCTCCTAACATTTCTAACAAAAGGCGAGCTCAACAAAGCGTGTGCATAGTGAGGCTACATTTATGTCCAGAAGCAAAACAAGGGTCCATCTCAGCATTTGCTCAATGAATACGGGAAACTGAACAAAAGTCTGATTGTGAAGAAAGTTGAATTATATTACTTGATACTTAAAAGAAACGTGGGCCAGCCATAGGCATGCCTGTTGGAATAGCACTAACAAACACACTTTCTGCAACGAGATCTTTAATGTCATTATGAATCTTTGATTACCTTGAGTTTCAATAATTCCTTTAAGGCTGTCACACAAGCTTTGAGTTGATGCATGTCACCTAATGCTGATACCAGCTGCATTGATTGTGCATGCAATCACTTGACACACGTAGATTAACACGTGAAATGGCAAACAAACACTCTTTGTGTTGTTGGAAACACGCATAGCATAGCAGGCTTCGAGTGTTGAAAGCTAGAAAACATGCTATCTTGAGATGCATGAAGTTAGCACCACTACTTCCTCGAAAAGTAGGCATACACCAAAGTTATGCCCACGTTTGCCACACCACCAAAAAGGCCAAGTCACATATCGCCAGAAATCGCAAAACACATTTTGGACTTTAAAGTGACTAGCATCCCCATTTGCGAATTTCAAAATTTTGAACACTCCATTGTGTGTTTGTGTCCTTACTGTGTGCCCCAGTCTATAGAGCCATAAAAGCCAATGTGAGCCAAAGGCACACATTGCCGGAAATCAAAATCAAAATTTTGAGATTAAAAGTGATTTGCACTCTTACTAGCAAAGTTCAAAATTTTTAACACGCCATCATTTTGTCCAAATTTAAGGTCGATCTGTCTCTTCATCCGTCCGTCCATCTTAGTATGTGTCAGTGAACCAGCGTCTGTGTGTAAACAGTAGGACAGACTTAAATAGACATTTCCCGATTGATGAGGGCAATATTACTGCTTCTGAAAATTAAAATGGGCAATATAATTTTTTTGAGGATACTTTTCATGAAGTTCCTGGGATGCTTTTTAATTTTTCTCAAATTTCTCCAAATTCTTAATTCTTTGCTAGGATAGAGCAAAATGCTCTCTGAAAAAAGCATAGGCTCAGTTTTTAGTAAGACCTCTGAAATTTTGAAAATTTGCATTTTGTGGTAACTTCCTACATGTAAGACATACAACTACCTGTAACCACATTACTGAAGATAGTTTTTAATGAAACCAGTTCTTCAAAATTAGAGATTTGATTAATATCAAGTACATATTTATAAAAACAGAACTCTGTGGTTGAGACAATAAGCACATTTACCAGCTCATGTTAAGTGTGGTCATCGAAAGCAGCCGCCCTCCAAGCATTTTGCTCTCCCTAGCTGGCATGGTATTACAACAATAGACAGGGAAGAAGGCTTTTTACCAGTAGTGACAAAATCAGTCATCTTTAGACTTAATCGATTTCATCCAACAGAGAATATTGAGATTTGGAGGAAACTGGAGCAGTGGGAGAACCAAGACGAGTTGGGTCTATACACGAATACTGAATTTAATTTTTCAAAGTAGTTACAAGTACATCATCTGTTTAAACTTAATAAACCACGTTAGTATTAGATGGTTTTCTTAGAGCGTTAGTATTGGGTACATCACACAAACGAAAGAAACTAATAATCATACTTTCCTTTGTATTTTAATATCTGATACTGTGATACAGATTATGTAAAGGGCCAAATACAAATTGTATGTATTAACTACGGTTTCCCAAAGTATTCAACTTTTATCTTATAATTTGCACCAGTCCCCCTAATATCTATAAAAGGGTAATATATTGTTCTTTGTTTATTTCTTTTTAAATTAGGATTTATCTTAATACATTTTGTAGTTATTTTATTTCGTTTTTTGTTTAGGTTCATAACAAATGATAAATAATGAAAAATAAATTTTTATTAACAATATTATCACAACTTGTAAATTTCATTATTGTACATTTAAATTTCTTGCAAACAGAAAATTGGCCAAAATTTTTAATGGCTGGTAAACTCAGGTTAGTCGTGAGAAAAACAATGGCATATAACAAATTTCGAAATAGCCATTTGGGCGCACCCCATTAAGATTAGTAATAAATTTGATTTGCGATTTCCAGCATGGTGACTTGGGCAAAACTTATTTATGGCTCTATGGACTGGGGCTCATTGTGGGCAAAACAATAGCATGTTCAAAATTTCGAAATTGCCTTGAGTGAGAGCTATAGCACGTTTATGTCCAAAATTTTGATTTGTGATTCCTGGCTGTTTGTTTTGCACAAACCTTTTAACAAATAGGAAATAAATGGGCAAAACTCTGCTAAACAATGATATGTTCAAAATTTTGAAATTTGCAAGTCGGGGTGCTAGTCACTTCTCCAAAGCTAGTCACACAAGTCACATAAGTCCAAAATTTGTTTGCGATTTCTGGCGTTTTGTGACTTGGGCAAAACTTTTTAAAGGTTGGGCAAAACTTTGGTGTAAGTCATTTGATTTTTCGAGAAAGTGGGGGTGCCAACTTCATGCACCTGCTATCTTAACTTACAGTATATCTTGAGCATCTTGCTTTAGCAGTGGACACAACACACGGCGCCAAGAGCGCCCGTGTGTCCTATCGCATAAGATACAGGATTAATTTGCGACACATGTGACTCGATGGATTGTCACCATCAGCATTAGGTGACACGCGCCATCACAACGCTCGTGTGAAACAGCCTTAACTGCGCCAAAATATTAATGTGTAATGTTGGTGAATATTTATGCAAAGCCGCACCGGCGATACTATCCTTATCCATTCATTCAGTTGTTTTATCCAAAATTCCAAAAAGGAGTGTTGAAATCAGTTGAATCGCCCTGCGCAGTAACATACAAAAAATCCTTGGACTCCTCTACGATCACGTACACATTTCAGCTTACTGGTCACCTATGCCGTTATCATTTGGATGTTATATGGTGTTAAAGAGACTTTCATTATGAATCTACAGTGGGTGGCCAAATTACACTGATAATCAAGTTATAGATATCTGGCATGGTGTTTACGTTTTCCTGTATAGTTTATGTTGATTTCAAATCTTAAAACCGTTTTGATCTGTGACATCACGTTTTTAAGATAACGACAAAAAATAATTTTCC